TAATGTCATACAATTATACATAAATTGTAGTTTATCTAACTATGCACTGTCACTGTGTATATCAGTAAATTTAATATAATTAGGGGTGTGCCGGACCCCGGTCCGGAATCCGGTTCCGCCGGATTTTGCACTATCCGGTGAAATCCGGTTCCGCCGGATTTACATGTATCCGGAACAACCGGATTCCGGAATCCGGAATATACCGGATTTCGGAATTTGCCAGATTTTGTGACTCACCGGATCATAATCTGAAATAAAAGTAATTCTCTTTCCCGAATTTCACACGATCACGATACATTAATCGATTGTTTCGAGCGTTGAGCTTGTTTAATGTTTAATATTCCGTACATACCAGAGGCTAGAGTCAGCACCGCTAATAGTGGCCAATAGTGTAGGGACTTTGATAAGAAAATTTAAACTTTTTGTAAAAATAAACCAATGGCATAGTTGAAAAGATGTAATTTTTTAAAGAATTATAACACCAAAATCATATTTTTAGCTGTTGTAGTTTTAAAGTTATGAATTTTTAAAGTACGACTTGGTTTGTCATTTTTTAACATGGACTGCATCTCCACATTCTGTGATCTCATTCCACCAATCCCGTCATGCGCAATGACTATATAGTTTATATAAGGCAACGCATTCCCTGCCTTATCACTAAAATACTGTTTAGACTTAGTTTAAACTTTCAACTTTGGCACATGAATAATTAATTAAAGCTTTCCCTGACCAATGGTTTAATAGTTTTTGCACACGGCAAACTCTTATGAATGAAACTCTGAGGTAGTACTACGATACAGTTATGCAAGTGGCTGTGAATGGTTGCCAATGACAACGTGTTGCACACGGTAAATTCTGATCATTTATAATATGGATTCTACCGGGTTGTTAAAGCTCAAATTAAAACATTCCAGTTTAAATGTCTTTAAATGCATTCTGAAACACAAGTTATCAATTATTTTGATGTAAATAGTGATAATAAATTAATATTTCCTAAGTATCGTCAACTTCCGCCATTAAAAAGGGGGGCGTGGCCAACCCCATGGCGAAATTAGGTTGAGCGAGCTGCATAACCTGCTGCGAACGCGTAGAAACATGGCGTCTCTCGTAAGACACTTATCCAAATGGAACGGAACTCAAATATATATCGAAAGTACTAATTTAATAATAAATAGACACACACATCGGAAAATTAAAAACTCGGATTTTTTGGCGCCGATTGCGAATTCCCATACACAAAAAGTAGTAGTCCACCTTGACTTACCGAAGTATCTACCAATAGTACCAAAATCCGGAATCCGGGAGAAACCGGTATCCGGATCCGGCGGATTTCGCATAAGAAAATCCGGATCCGGATCCGGTTGGAAAAAACGGATCCGGCACACCCCTAAATATAATGTATTAGTATTAGTATTAATATAAATTGGCTTACCAGATCTACGGCGTCCATTATACCCATATATGCTATATAGTCTTTATAAGGTATTGCATCCCCTTACTACTAAAATACTGTTTGGGGACTACTTATTTTGAACTTTCAACTTTGGCACATGACTAGTTACTTAAAGCTTTCCCTGACCAGTGGTTTAATAGTTTTTGCACAGGGCCAGGGCAAACTCTTATGAATGTAGCTCTAAGGTACTACCCAGGTATAGCCATTATGCAAGTGGTTTCGAATCGTTGTCCGTGACAATGTTTTGCACATGGAAAATTCTGATCATTTATAATATGGACTCTACTGGGTTTTTAAAGCTCAAATTAAAACATTCCAGTTTAAATGTCTTCAAAATGCATTCTGAAACACAAGTTGTCAAATATTTTGATGTATATAGTGGTTATAATTGAATATTTCCACCAATTGAAAGGGGGCGTGTGGTCACTCATCCAAAATGGCCCCTGCGAGCTTTGCGTAATGAGGTCTATGTAGAGGAGAGTTGTGAAAATGTTTCATGAGGTAGCACAATGAAATGTTGCAAAGGTATACTTCAAAAGAAGTATATGTATCATGTGGCGTGTAAAAATAAAATAACTCACATCTGCTAAAATTAGGAAAAAACTTTCGTGGTGAACGTAACTAATAAAGATCAATACTCGGAGGTCGAGATTCTATCTCTTAGGACCTTGGCCGTGAAACATAGGCTAGTAGTCTTTGAGGACTCTGGCCATGCAACCCGGCCTTGAGTAACAGGGTTTTGGGCAGGTTGCTTCCACTCATGAGGGGACAGTTTTGCGTCACAGCCCCCCTTACCCATTGAGTCTTACGGTCTGGACGTTGGATTGGAACGGCTTTACTTCCTCTCCGGGGATGACGTTGCGTTGCCACCCCCACCGCCCAGGGAGCCGTACGTTCCTTGGTGTGGCACGGCTTTGCCTCCACTCCGGGAGTAGTCACAAGCTTAACTTTCTCCCACATTTCCTGGGAGTTGTGTGAACATGGGTCAAAACGGCTTTACTTCCTCTCCGGGGGAGGCGTTGTGTTACCTCAACCCACCGTTCGAGGAGTGGTCCAGTCGGGACGAAACGGTCACCTAGGAGCGGCTTTCTCAAGGCCGCAAAGCCGCATGTTTTTAACCCTCAGCAAGGATTTAAAAGAAAACTCAAGCCTCATATCCATTATCGGCGACACATAATCATGTTAGCGCGCGCCTTCCGTTGCGTAGGAAGTCATGCATTTTGACTGGGATTTTTTAGCTTCAGAAGGGAAACCTCCCCCCCCCCCCCCCCCCTTACTAGTCGGTCACGCCTCGAAGAGGCAAAATCCCTTGTAACACCACTCGAGCAAGTGATGCTGAGCATCGACCTCACAGAGCTTGGTCTTTGCCCGACCGGGTGAGCGTAACTACTTTATTGTATCCCTCTATATATGTGACAAGAAATGTCAACAACCTGTGGTCGCTCTTTTTTGTCACATAATTTTGGCTAGTACATAAATTTAGTAGAAAATGTAGCTACTTTATTGTAGCCCTCTAGATATATGGTTTTTACTGGGTTTTTAAATATCAAATTAAAACATATTTAAAATACTTCTATGTTCATTCTAAAGCACAAGTTTTCAAATTATATTTTGATGTAAATAGTGGTAATAATTGAATATTTCCTAAGTATTGGCATCTTCCATCATTCAAAAGAGGATATGGCCATGCCATGATTACTGGGACAAGTGTAACGAACATCAGACACAACCTACCTCAATGGGAATTAGCACACATATACATCAATAAATAATGCCTATCAGAATTTCATATGAAAGACATATCTTTAAGTTTCTTCAAAAATTTTAAGCTAAAGATGCTTTGTATATACCTATGAATTTCTAAAACTAAAGTCGATCAAACAAGACAAAACAGTACAATGGAGTGTAGGTCAAGATGTCCCCTATTGTGAATGGAAAAGCACCAATGTCCAAAAATTAAAAACTTGGATTCTTCTGCGCCAACGCCCAATTCCTATACAAATTTTGAAGTGGTTTCCCTTGCTTTTTGTAAGTGCCTACTATATCACTTTGAAGCGACTGCTGCGCTGTACCTAGCAAAACTATGGATCTATAACCTGTGTACACCACAGTGGTGAACCTAGGAAAACCATGGACATAGGCCTGCATATCCCACGGCAAAAAATTATCATTGGCCTTGTCTTGTGGTAAACGCTAAATGATACTAAACATTGGGTTTAGGGATCAATTACCAGATGCCAATCAAATTTTACTAGGCTGAAATCTTTTTTTTTTCTCATATGAATTTAATAATACAATATATTTTTTAATTATTTTGTTCATTTGTAACAAAAGTGTTAATTTTTATTTTGTAATAATTTAAATGCACGTTATGTACCTATTATCATGTGTTTTAACTTAAACAAGATGTGGTGGCCTTAAATAATAATCCGGTAAACTGTGTTAAGATAGGCCATAAACTCCCAGAAACATTTTAGTGAAACCAATGATTAGCACAAACTCTTGGGACCAAAGCAAAGGGCTCTTATTTGCAGTTATGTGCTACTCCCAGGTTCAGCCAGCATGATGATCATAAACAGAGGCGCTTGTGAAAAAAAAAGCTGTCGGAACCCACAACACATATTTTAACAGTCACAGCAGTGCTTTCCAAGCATTAATTTTACCCCATGCCCACCTGATCACATAATATGTTGTAATATGTTCTTCCCCCAAAAACACACATATTAGTGGGAACAAAGAAAAGAGGTCTTCATGCTGCCATAAAGAAAATTTAATTTCAAATTAGCTGCCTTTATTTTTAGTTTAAAAATTCACAATTGTAGGATAAAATTTAAAATAAGTTTTTTGTGAAACATACATTTCCTATATCCTAGAGCTTTGGCTCTGGTGCCCCCCCCCCATCCCCGTATGGAAAATATTTTGGCCATCCCCCCACAAGGTAGAATATAAGGATGCATTTTATGTATGAAGCGGCCAGATACAACCATAAAAATACTAAGAAATGCTCCTTACAAGTACCTTGCCTCAAATGTAACGAGACTTAACCATTATCTGCCTCACAACCTCTGAAATAATAAAAATATTTATATTTCATAGAAAAACATATTAGCATTGCATGAGCCTCATTCCCATGCATTCCTGTAGGGCTCATGCCTTGTGCAAAATAATAATACAGGTACTATTTTTGTTTAATCTTGCAGGTATTAAATGAATTTTTTTTAAAAACTTAATAAAGGCCAAAGTTCATGGTTTTGCTAGGTACACCACCACAGTGAGCCTACCTTATTATTTAGATATATATATTTCTCCTATATTTCCCCCCAATCATCATCAGTAATTACACACTTTTATTAGGCACACAGTGTGTAAACATCATAACAAATTTGTGACACCACTCCCCCCCCCCTTTTTTTTTTCTCCTGATGTGTGGTGTTGTGATATCAATGGCTTCTTAGGTTTTGGTGATAATCTTGTAAAGTGAAATTCAGGAACAATTTATGATATCAAATGCTTATGTATACTTGTAACTACAGAAAAACTACTCTAATCAACAGGACTTGTTCGTTCAAATGGTACAAAGCTCCAGGTGGGAGATAGGATTGTGTGCAATGATCATCGGGCTTGCATACGATTTATTGGAGCAGTGCCACCAACAAAAGGTGATTTCTTAATGTGAACAGCAAATGTTTTATTGTTGCAGTAAACTACTAAAATATTAGAGCATCATTATACTGAATTGTTCCTAGTACAGACTGGGCCTGATTATAAGCCCCACCCTAACGTTTAGTACTATCTTTAAATTATTTTCTTTGCTATTTTTTAAGGAACATCTTGACTATAGGCCCTACTCCTTGATTAAATGTAAAGACTTTAATTTGGGAGGAAAAGTGCAGCTTATACTCGGAACAATGCAGTAATTTTTCTTCTGGCTTGTCGTAGCTAAATTATTATAATGTTAATAATATTCAGGAATCTGGTTTGGAGTGGAATGGGATGACCCTAATAGAGGCAAACATGATGGATCTTATGAGGGAGTTACCTATTTTCATACCAGGTGATTTAAATTTACAAGTTGTGCTTTTTTTTTTTTACAGATATTTTGTGTACTGCTTTGTTTGCGAGAGACAGTATTTTGAAAGTATGAAAAGTAACCCAAAAAAAAAAATAATTACATTGTCCCGATTTTCGGATAAAAAGCTGTCTATTTACCTGAATATTTTTCTGTACAAGAATTATTGATTTGTATTGGCAATTAAATTTGAACAAGCTTTGTCTTTGTGTCTTAAACCTGTGTTTTTTTCCCCTGATTTTACTTTCAATTAAACTTAACTTATCAGTTACGAACTGTGTCATGTCAGTGCTATCCTGCTGAACTGAATACTGATAAATCTAGTGTGTAAATTGATGACATTTAGCTGGTAAGGGATATGTTTATGTTATTGTAGTTGTGTTAATAAATTGAACATAAAACTCATTGAGAAAAGGTGGGGAGGTATCTGTTCCTTTAGATCAGGGGTGGGAAAACTATGGCCTGCGAGCCGCATGTGGCCCAGCAACTAATATTATGCTGTCCTCAAAGGCATTTAGAAATTTTTAAAAATTACTTTGTTTTTAAGTTTTTTTTGTTGAATTTTACAGAATTCCTTGTACCGTTATGATTGTTTTAACATTTTTTAAGAACTTTCTTTCTAATTTTCTTTTTTTTTAACAGTCCTTGACTTTTGTCATGTAAAGCTAAAATGCGAATTTACCGATTTTAATATAGAGAAATGTTTATCGATATGTAAAAATTGGACATAATAAACATGCCGTCCCCCAATAGCTTTACATTTGTCAATGTGGCCCTCTCCACACAAATTTTGCCCACCCCTGCTATAGATCATTAAGCCAATATTTATGGGGCATAGAAAATGAAGATAAATATTCTCAACATTTTCTTCAATAATTGTTCTAGTAATTTTATTTAAGTAATTATTTATCCAACAGCCATCCAAAGTCTGGTTCCTTTGTGAGGCCAAAAAAGGTAAATGGAGGTGTAACCATTGTGAATGCCTTGCATGAAAGGTATGGCCTTAAGAATGATGAGGAAGCTGGAGTTCAAAAAGAGGGCCTTTTTGTTGTAGATCAGTTTCTGAATCAAACGATAGTAGAAATGATTGGTGCCAAGAAGGTCAATCAACAACAAAGGTAATAAAAGGATTTTTTTATTATGAAACTGTTTTATTAAGTCACAGTTATCAGATGTACAGTTTTACCACTGTTTATTTTTGTAATTAATAGGAATGTAAAATTGCTACTATTAAACCATTTCTGAATTAATGAAAAGGGAAATTTTGAAATGCATGTTCCATAGACTGGACTAATATTGTAAGTTTAAAAAAAAAAAAGACTTGGGCTGATTATAAGTACTTAATGATAAATATTGTTGATTTTTTTTTTGTTGGAAGCTAAATCAAATTAAAACAGATTATATGTACCTAAATCCAGTTAAAAATGGTAAAAAATAAAATGAGTAAAACAGAGTAGGGTTAAACCTGAAAAAATAAACGCAACAAAACAGCGAACGTGTTAGCAGAAAGCCTTCGCCAGGGAACAAAACAACAGAAAAAACGGTGTAAAAATAAGAAATAGCACTTAGCTGGTAAGTAGTATCTGTGGGCAGCAATAGAAGTGTGTCACACTTTATTATATTATTTTAAATAAACTCTTTGTTTTATCTCTTACACTCCAATTAAGGTTATCTTTGATTTCCACAGCCAGTTCAACAAGCTTAAGAAAGTCTCTGTCTTTGAAATGAATGTATACAGCGGAGGTCCAGCTGGTGAGCTGGGACGCCTGTGTCCCAATATTATAGATCTGGACTTGTCTGCAAACCTTATATCATCCTGGGAACAAGTTGCTGAAATGGCTAGACAACTTCCACTACTTGTTGAGTTTAATGTCAGGTAAGAATTCGTTTTAACAACCGTTAAGAATTTTGTTTTGGCATTGGTAAATCAGTAATGCAGTAGCCATTTTGTTGTGTTTCAAAAATGTTTATTGTCACTGTAGGCCATAGGTCTAATCATAAAAGCATGACACTTTGAAATTCAAGTTTTGGGCCACAATATCTCTTTTTTGCAATTGCTTTTATAACAGATCATTTCAGCTGCCTTTATGCCATACCTTTTTCAAGTCTCATTATCAAATCCTTTTTTTTTGGTCAAATTTAATAAGAGGTAATTTTTTCTTATTTGATAAGATATAAGTGAAACATTTTGCACTGATCATTTATTTGAATTCCTTCACAGTGAAAATAGACTTGTTGTTCCCAAAGATCCAAGTTCTTTATCATCATGTTTTCCAAAAGTAAAAAATGCAACAATGAACCAAATGAACATTTCATGGAAGGAAGTCCTCACCTGCTGCTCAATGTTTCCTTCTCTTGAAATGGTCAATGTCTCATTCAACAATATCTCCCAGCTAGCTGATGCCTCTCATGTGCTCAAGCGCCTGAGGACCCTCAATTTAATGACTAACAAGTTATCTGATTGGGAAGAAGTGCTAAAGCTAGGAAGTCTACCCTCGTAAGTTAGGACATTTTTCAGCTTTTAATGGCTCCTTAAGCATGCACTATTATGGATTTTTAAAAATTGCTTTCAGATTACTTAAACTCTAAAGCCTTAAATATAATCTAAAGCACCCATCCTCTTCTATATTTCAAAGTGTTCAAATATTTCTTGATATAATCAGTTTATAATTCAATCTGGCTTCCTGTTCATTTTCTAATTTTTTTTCTTAAAAATAAAAAAGATTTTGTTTTAAAAAATTTGGGGGGGGGGGGGGGGGGGGAATGGTGCCTTATCAATAATTTATTGAAGTCCTTCATTTTATTATCCTACATCTAAATGAATGGGAAGAGTTGTATACAATTTTTTTTCTCCAGGCTTGAGACACTTATCATCAGTGAGAACGAGATCAAGACTATTTACTTCCCTGACTGTTCGCCAACAGAGAAAACATCAGTATTTAAAAAACTAAAATCTTTAATTGTTAAAAGAAATGCTATCCTTGAGGTAGGCTTATAGGAATTTTTTTATCATATTGCCTTGGTCTATTTATGCTCAATTTCTTCATTCAAAGCGATAAACTTTTTCTTTTTTTCTTCCTTTTTTGTTCTTGCACGTTTTGAAATTTTAACTTGAAATAAATGAATAACTACAAGCTTTTAAAAAATAAAATACAGCTGGGAAAGTTCACCGAAAGGGTCATCTTAAATTAGAAGTGTGTTTTTCTTTAAAAATTGCATCTATATCTACTAACTATCCTGTTAATGTTATTGGAAAAGTAAAAACTTGACAAAATAAAATTGATTGGTAAAAATTTCACTGGGCCTGTTCAAATAAAATTAAAATTATTAAAGATTAAAATATTTTGTTGTTGACAGTGGTCTTCCATAAATGAACTCAACAAATTGCAAAAGCTGGAGGAACTGCAGATTGCAGAAAATCCAATTTTGAGGACTTTTAATACTGAAACAGTGCGACAGCTGTTTATTGCCAAAATTGGTGGCCTCAAACTCTTCAGCAGAACACCCGTATGTCATGTCATGTCATTAACTCTTTGTGTGTGTGATTAGTTCTTTTTATCCATATTTTTATTTTCATTTTAAAGTTTGAAATACTTCTTAAAGCTGCTTCGTTATGAAACTTAATTTTAATCAACCTTTTAAAGGTTGCACAGCTTTTCCTCAGTATTCCTCAGGTCGATTTACTCAACAGATTTCATTTGAAGAAAGAAAGGGCTCAGAAATCGACTACCTCAAGCGTTTTGGTACAGAGTGGAAACTGGCTGGGGGGAACTGTGACAAATCAAAAAACAATCCTAGCAATGAGTTTATTGTCAACCATCCTAGATATCAAGTTATTGCCGATAGTAAGAATTGGTTTTCTCTTAATTTCACCATAAATTTGGGACTATGAAATGGGAAATATTGGCAATTTTAGCTTACCATAAGAATACGATTTAATACTCTTTGATCTTTAAATGTATAAAACAAACAATTAATTTTTGTCAACAATTTTTTACTATCATAATTTAATTTGATGACATGTTATATATTTTATTGAAGTAAATTTTTATAGACTCTCCTACTTTTCATGTTTAGTTTGATTTGTATTATAATAGAATTATGAATTGGGGAACAAATTAAATGTTTGTAAAAAGCTAATAAAGTTGTGCTTATTTGTACAGAATGGGGAGCCCCGGAAGACTCAGAACTAGGAGAGAAATCTACAGCTTTAAAAGACAGTTTATTATGTAAGTTGGTTGCTTAAATTCACAAGGGCACAATGAATATTATTGTATCATTAAATTTACTACTTGCATGTTTATTTCGTATTCAGTTTTGTGTACTCTGCAATGAGCTTTATGACCTTTCTACTTAATTTGACTTTGTTTAAAAAATATGACTGTGTCTTCTTTTATTTTTAGCCATCAAGATATTCTGTCCAAAGCATCCAGAGAAAGGAACGTTAGATAAAAAACTTCCAGGTACAAAAAAATTATACTTTAAATATATAGAGTGGATTATTTGCAAAATTAATTGCTTCATAGTCTGTCTTTATCTGAATATGGAATAAGTTTAGTTAAATGCTGTTGTATTTATGTCTTATTTCTAATTTCTAACATTAAAACTAATTTAGAATCTTTTAGTATCACCTAAACTCAGCTATTAAGTATCTTTTGAACAAAAATAATGATGATGCTGATCATTTGATTAAAATATTTTTAAAATCTCCTTAAAAATGTTATTCTATTGATCTGACATTGAGATTTTTCCTCAGGTACTATGTCGATTCAAAAACTAAAAACTTTGATACAAAGATTATACAAGATACACAATGAACCAAAATTAGCATATTCTAGTCATAAGGTATGATTGACAATATTAGTTTTAAAAAGCTTAATTATGACTCTTTTCTTTAAAACTTGTATCCAAGTAGCCTCTTAAAGTTATTACAAAGTCTTTTTTTCTTTTTGATTTCTTAGTTGTGATTTTTATAGACTCTAAATCTTTGTTAAGTTAAACAGAAACTGAGAATACATTTAATTTTTCAAGATCTAATATACTGCTTTAATTGGTTATTGATAGCTGATTTCAAAGTAAATCCTACTTTTGTATTTTTTATTTTTTACGTATGGGTTTCCTATTACTATTATTTCTTAGATTCCCCTGCTCTATTTAAAATTGTTTAAGAATTTAAGTCATTTAATACACCACTGTTTTTAACAAATGTAATTGAAGTCTAATGTGCAATGCTTTGTACCTTTTTAAATTTGTACATGTTTTTCCTTGACATTAATATTCTATTCTCTTTTGTGTTCCTAGAAAGTCAATGGACCAGAGATTGAATTGGACAATGACATGAGACAACTTGGTTTTTTTTCCATTGAGTCAGGAGATACAATCCTGGTTTCCTGGTGACTTGAGTTTGTGTCAACATCTTCAGCCGCTTCCCCAATACCTGTGATAAATAGATTGGTATATGAATTAATTTATGTAAGAATATCTGAATTTAATTCCATCTGCCTTCTGTATTGACATGCTGCTTATGCAAAGTTCATCAATTAGTTCAAACAACAGCTGTTAGGCTTTATAAACATTTTAAAGCTCAGGTCACATGATTCAAGATTACAGGCTGCTTGTGAGTCCTGTTTATCTCTAAAGAAATATGAACTGTCTGTTCAATGTTATACTGTGCGATTTGATCTAAGCAATGTTTAATAGATACATCTTAGCCAAATAGTTTCTTGTCTGGTTATTCAAAGGATTGTGTATTTATTAAGCAACTAGTCTAGATAGTTTTATTCAAAGAAAAATTGAATTGAATATTGTTGTTAAAAAAATTACGTTTTCAATTAAATAGCTTTCTGTGTAATTTTTAAAAGGACTCCACATTGTGTACAATGGGAACAATATTTACTAGTTTATATTATGATTAAAATATGTTGGAAATCTTTTTTGAGATGGTCACTATTGCTACTTTTTACAATTTTCTGTTGCAATGAATGGTGATGAAATTAATTTTTTTGTCTTACTTCTGTATTTGATTTAACACATCCCTTCATTTCTGTCTGGTCTTTATTCTAGAATACCCAGATATCACACGTTGAACAAAATTATGACAAAAAATTTATTTCATTGATAAATGAGATAAAATTTAGAATAGGAAAACCCCTGACCTCAAAAATAAGACATACCTAGCTTTTTTTTTAGTAGCCCCTGTCATCGAGTAGAGATAATATTAATTAAATGGAAGCAATGTTAGGGATTCAATGTTGAAAATTGAGACAAATTTGATATTTGAAAACTTAACTGAAGGAGATTTTTGTAAGCATCATGTCAAGATTTTAATGAAAAAAACATTGATATACCGTACTGCATTAATAGGGAAACAAACCATTGATAGACTGCATTAAGAGGGAAACAAACCATTGATAGACTGCATTAAGAGGGAAACAAACCATTGATAGACTGCATTAAGAGGAAAACAAACCATTGATAGACTGCATTAAGAGGAAAACAAACCATTGATAGACTGCATTAAGAGGAAAACAAACCATTGATAGACTGCATTAAGAGGGAAACAAACCATTGATAGACTGCATTAAGAGGGAAACAAACCATTGATAGACTGCATTAACAGGGAAACAAACCATTGATAGATTGCATTAAGAGGGAAACAAACCATTGATAGACTGCATTAAGAGGGAAACAAACCATTGATAGACTGCATTAAGAGGGAAACAAACCATTGATAGACTGCATTAAGAGGGAAACAAACCATTGATAGACTGCATTAAGAGGGAAACAAACCATTGATAGACTGCATTAAGAGGGAAACAAACCATTGATAGACTGCATTAAGAGGGAAACAAACCATTGATAGACTGCATTAAGAGGGAAACAAACCATTGATAGACTGCATTAAGAGGGAAAGGGGTTAATCTAATCTTTTGATTATTTTATTTTAAAACAACAACAACAAAAATTATTTACATTTTTGTCTCCTCATAAATTTATGGTGGAAATTATATATATATATTATTTTTTTAGATTTCCATCTCATTGAAATTGTGATTCATCTGTCTTAATCAATAAATGAAACAATAGATTTGTATCATTTTTATTAACAATGCTTGTACCGAATTCCATCTCTGTTGTGCAAATCAGTTCAAAAATGAATAACTGATTTTGTGCGTATATTTAAATGATTTAATCATAATAAACAAGACTAAGAATAAACATTTTTTTATAAATAATTTGAGTTTTGCATTTATTTACTAGAAAGTTTTAATTATTGTTTGTGGAGATGATATTGAGGAATGCATCCTCAATCTAATTGAGACAAGTTTATGACATAACTGTTATCACTCTATTATGGACCACCCTTATTAAAAAGAAGTCATTTTCCTTTTTGTTAAGTTGATTGAAAAGTTTGCATGTCTTTTTTTTTTTTTTTTGCATTTTTGCAAGTACACTGAATTTTTTTTTTGATTACAATAAACATCCCCTTCACTGTACATGTCAAATGATTGTTTTATGATACCAAGGTTCTTGTAAACNTTTTTTTTTAAAAATTATTTATTTTTTTTTTTTTTTAGTTGATTGAAAAGTTTGCATGTCTTTTTTTTTTTTTTTTGCATCTTTGCAAGTACACTGAATTTTCTTGTTGATCACAATAAACATCCCCTTCACTGTACATGTCAAATGATTGTTTTAGGATACCAAGGTTCTTGTAAACTCAAGATTCACATACAAGACATCAAAAATTTGTTCAAACATTCTTATTACAATCTGAATTACGTATTATATAAGCTGAAGTGTATCACATATTTAGTGACATAACACTCCGAATTTCAGAAATGGTTTTAATAACCTATACAATCTCACTTCACCTGGAACCTATCCTTAATAAATATATAGGAACTGCAATTACTATTTAAATTTAAAGAAAAAGGTGATAAGGGTTGTAGAATGGCGATTGAAAGGCATTTGTCAGGGTGTTTTAATAATTAAGCTGTTGCAAGGCAGAGTTATCTCCCTTCAAAGAGCGTAATATTATTGACATTTAAGTTATATGTCAATGTAGGCATTCTCAGTCGTTGTTTTCCCTCTAATTAGAAAGGGGAAAAGGTGGAAAAATATATTGATATTTTTTTCTCAGTCTCACACTTAAATCTATTACACTACTTTCAAGATCTGATAAAATCATTTGCCATCAAAATTATTATTTTTTCACAGTGAGTTCAGTCGCACTCACAATATTCAGAGACTTTACTGGTAAAAAACATTTTCATGTTAAGTGCCTTGATGTAGTGATTTAAACTGGCTTTGAAAAACGTAAAAAAATATTAAAATAATTTAAATAATAATAAGGTGAACGAAAAGTTTGGCATTTAGTCTGAAACTCTTTTGTGAATTAAAATCGTACGAGGTCACCTACAAGAGATAAATTAGGAAATGGCTACATTTACGGTTTCACTGCTGAGGACTTGTAATAAATGCAGGCAAATAATAAAACCCTCGTTATCATTTGCACGCAACACATATCTTAATTCGAGACTTAAGGTAATCATTAATTTATATAAGTGAGTTGAAGTTTTTACTTGGGTATAATAATTAGTGAATCAAATGTCCTGTTTTTGTAATGTCAGTCAGTGATGAGAGTCGGTGAGACTCTGACTCTGATGAGAGTCTCACCACACAGACTCTCATCATCATTGTTATTGTGACAGTCATTGTCACTCAGTCATACTCATCATACTCATAGTTACTTCAGAAAAGCAAAAGAGACTACTTCAACATTTGTAGGTGAAATAGGCGTTTGCGCAGAAGAATCCAAGGCTAAATCTGAGGACGAATGCCACAGCGTCTTTTGGGTGTTTATAGTTGCAAAAATTAGGTAGCTACTTGGATAAAATTTTCAAGTTGAATGAATTAAGAAATGAACACATCTCTAATATCGCCCTGGTTAAATGAAGTAATAATATGTTTTCATGTAGCCCTTTGCCTTTTGGTTAAAAATTTATGATTTTTTTTGTGAATAAAAAATCACTTTCATAATAGGCCTATAGAGTAGGGACCTCGGTATCGACCGGAAATACCCGAAAAACGGGTATCGTATTTTCGTTGTCATTATGGCGACCTCTACTTTTTAATTTACTGAGGGTATCGTTGTTTCGCGTTCATAATCGATTTTTAGCATAATAATATAATTTTACTTCCGCCAATTACTTAAAGCCGACATCTTTCCTGTTATATTAAGAGTTCGTTTGATTTTTTGGGTCAAGATTAAAGCTTTGAAAATTGAAGTTAAAAATTGGTCAATTGAATATCAGTGATTTTAATTTTTGGGTTGGTTGCCATGGACCTGGCTGACACTGACATGGGAATGATAAGCTCTTGTCTTTGACTTAGATAGTGATAGGCTTAGTTTAAGTATTATAATAGTATTTATACTATTATAAATGATTTAAGGAGTGGGATAAATAGCTTTTATTACAACTAATATATTTATCATTTATATTAGTTTATATATTTATAGATAAATATTTATTTGTATATATATATTATATATAATGACCATTATGCATTAGGCTAGAGGCCTTGTATACATATAATATAGTATAATACAAAGTTTACTATATCAGGGTTAAGGCCTAGACCCAACCCAACTAACTTGTAGGGCCTATTATAATAAATTATATTTAATGATATTTTAGGATATGTAATAAAATTTTAATGAATATTGTGATTCTTACTTAAGGCAAAAACTAAGTAAAACATTTTGAAATATTCACTTACCTTTGGTATTGAAATATCCTATATTTAATCACATATCACAATATTCCACAAGAGAATTATTATATAATCCTCGGTTTCTCAAAGAAAAAACACACTTTCTGGCACTACAATCCAAGAATTACTTAAGATATAATAACCTGTACTTACCTCTAGTAAATGACTAGAACTTATTTTATTAACAGCTAAAGTCAAAGTTGATTCTAATAATACATGTGGATTTGTAAAACAAGATTACAAACTTAAAATAAATGACATGCTGATTGTTTTGTCATACTCATAGGAATAATATAATATATAGTATACATATGTAGAAAATGGTAAAATAAAAAGTGTAATTGTCAATTTTAAATAAATAAAACAAATAATCCCTTTATTATTTGTTTATGCTTATAAATGCTAAACAATTCCACAGAAAATCTGCAATTAATATCTAAAGAATAATATTATTATTATGATTTTTGGGAAATTAAAAACAAAATTAAAACAAAATTTTAATTAATTAATTACAAATAAGTGATGAGTCAGCATTTTTATACATTTTTAATAGGCAAATAATAAAGTTGTTTTTTTAAATATTTGCGGCACATTAACAAAAACTAATGTATATTTTGTGGCTTTATTTAGAAGTACTCTTATTTAACTATGTTCCCTGTAAATATTATATTTTTGTCTCATTTTATAATAAAGTTATAGGCGTTTAAAAAAAAGCAAAATGAGGGTCACAAATGTGGAGGAAAATCCCATAGTAAAAAAGTGGTTTTGAGGTCCCTACTAAAAAATTCATAACTTTTGAACCACTTCAGCTAGAAAGTTGATCTTGGTGTTTTTGTAATCTATTCTCCAGGCTCTATACAGCTGTAGTATTTTTATATTTTTAAGAATGTTTTGAAATTTTCATCAAAGTGGCTACTATAGAGTGAGATTTGTGACCACTTTTCAAAATTTTTTTACAAAAAGGCTCATAACTTATAGCAGAGTGGACAAATGATATGAAACTTTCCAGAAGTTTTCATCATCGTATTATCACATCTTTGTTGCTTTGAAAACTTAAAAAATTAAATAGAATATTTTAAAAATATTTTTTTAATGTCATTAAAAAACTTTTTAAAAAAATAATTAAAAAAATAATTGAACAAAATTAATTTATTTAAATACAGGAAATATAATAGAGGCAAATTTACTATAAAAAGTATGATTTAATTTGAAAGGGAGCAAGATCTGATAAAATATTTGTTAATATGTCTAATATTGTATAGATATTACAATAAAACCTAATGTTAATTAAGATGGAACTTGATTGATTTATGAAATTATAAAATGTCATTAGCTTTCTTATCTGTCAACTAGTGACAAATAATACTGTTTCCGGTTTATTACTTTCATTTTCCGCCAATGTTTTTGTGGTTTTAGAGACTTGAAATTTTACATGGTCATTTTTTATACAATTTTACAGGTACACCAGGTCGATTTAAATTGGGACAACGAATAGTTTTCAAAATATTGATAAATTAGACTTGGCTGCTTTGTCACATTTTTTTTATTTACGACATACTGATATTACTGAAAACAAAATGGATTTCGTTAAAGCCCGTTCATTAACGTAACTAGAACAGTAATTCGTTCGTTGATCTGACGTTTCTAGTGCGAAAAAATAATTTTTTAGTGACCCTATCATCCAGCACACCCAAAAAAGCGTCTCAAAAACCCCATGGGCCGCGATTGCGTCAAAATAGCCTCATATCCAAGTACCTAGTTTAGGCTAGGTTGAGGAATCAATTTAGGGTTGAGGTTAGGCCTAGGGATCGATTTAGGGTTCAGGTTAGGCATAGGGATCGATTTTTTAGGGATACATTCGTGAAAGAATTAACTGGTTGCATCAACCAAGATGGCGGCATTCGTCCTCGTAATTTACCTAATCAAAGTTTTTAATTTTTAGACGTTGTTGATTTTCCATTAATAAAAGGACTATTTTGTCATAAAATTGTGGTATCCTTCTGGTGACTTCCGACCACATTCACATGTTCACAATTTATAAGGAGATAGACATAGTTCATTCAATCATAGTGTTGAGTTGAGGGCACTCCTCAGAACGGCAGTCCCAAATTAAAAATAGAATATTATTTAAATTGTGCGGCTACCAGCCTAATAGCCGCCCATAATTGGTGACATATTTTTTTAATGTCTAATGAGTCTAATGCTCTATTTAACTTTATTCATTTTTTTTTTAAGGTCGCGATCTTCATTAGTATTAGCCTCTTCATCATCATGTTCTCCTGAAAAAAAAATAATTTTTTTTTTAAAAAGAAGAACAAAATGAAAGACAATGTAAGAGAGAAGCGAAAGTTATCTTTGTTGGAATGCTGTTTTGTATTAAGATAATATTCAGCAAGCCACGGTCACACTAACCAAAGCATACAGTCCTGAAAAAACATTATTTGTAATATGAACTGGCGCTTGTGGTCTGCCGGCCATGGTATTGTTTATTTTATATTACTACAAGCAATAATTAGTCTGCAAACAAAATTTGAAGTAAAAAATATGTCACCGATTTTAGGTGGCTGTTAGGCTGGTAGCGGACACTTTCTAACAAAAAGTATTTTATTTTTAATTTACGGACTTTTGTTCTGAGGAGTGCCGCCATTTTTTATCAATCTTATTTTTAGCAATTCATATTTGTATATAAGGCATCTTTCCCTCAAAAATTTTTATGTAGATTTAAATATGTCTTTCATATTAATTTCTATTAAGTTTAAAGTATCATATATTGATGTTTCGCCAATTCTCATTGACGTAGGCATTGTAGGTCATGTCCGATGTTCGATATACTTGTCCCAGTAACGTGTATTACCATAAGGTTTCTCAGCCTAATTTCAACATGGCGTGGGCTATGCCCCCATTTTAATGACGGAAGCTGCAGATACTTAGGAAATATTCAATTATTACCACTATTTATCAAAATATTTGATAACTTGTGTTTTAGAATGAACCTTGAGGTAATTTTTAAAAAATATGTTTTAATTTAAGGTCTAAAATCCCGGTAGAGTCCATATTATAAATGATCATAATTTGCTGTGTGCAAATCGTTGTCATGGGCAGCCATTCACAGTCACTTGCATAATGGCTAAGCCATAGTACTAGCTCAGAGTTTCTTTCACAAGAGTTTGTCATGTGCAAAAACGATTAAACCATTTTTCAGGGAAAGCTTTAATTAATTATTCATCTGCCAAAATTGAAAATGCAAAATAATTTGTCCCTTAACAGTATTTTAGTAATAAGGGAATGCGTTGCCTTATGTAAGCTATATAGTCAATGCCCATAACAGGATCAGCGGAATGAGATCACAAAATATCGAGGTTTCGTCCATAGTATAAAATTTTAAACGAACTCACACTTTAAAAATTTGTACCGGTAGCTCAAAAAGTTATTTAAATATATTATATAGGTATTTAAATTAAAAACATATGCTTAAGTCATTGGGACCGGAGCCCATTTTCAATGCAAGTAAGTACATAAAATATTTCTAAGCTATACTATGAATGCCAATAAAAAAAATTAAAGCCTAGCCTTAGTGCCCTTAGTCTCAGCATTTTCTAAATCAGAAAATTTGTTTGTCAAAAATCCCTATCAGTGAGTACCAATCTATTAATTTTTTTCCTTATTATTTATTTAAATTTGGTCAATGCAAATGGATCCTAATGTATGTCCAATAAAAAACATAGGCCTATATTATTATATTACAGAAAAGATAGTCTATAATATATACAGCCAACATTGCCATTGATGTGCATCCTGCAGACAATGTGGTTTAAATTTAGGTTAGAAGTTAAAAGTTAGATTGAAAGTGCTAAAATATTGGAAGTCTGAAAAACAAATTCCGCTAAATTCTTAGAAAGTAAGTTAGTTCTTTAAAGCATAAAATAATCGTATAAAACCTTAATAATTATGAAGACTATATGTATTTACAAAAGGTACATAGGAAATAATTTATTTAAAATTTGAATATTTATTCTTGATAGTTTGTAGTCATTATATGATTATATGCGTCACTGATAATTTTTTATGAATAATTATGATGCACCATGTTATCAACTGAAGTTTTAATACAAGTAGGTCATAGAGTGTCTTGCAGTTTTAAATCACTTGATTAACTAGTTACAAATGATACATTTTCATTTACAGTGTGAACAAAATGTGAGATTACTCACTACAGCACCACCCCCTTTAAATAATTCATCACTAAATGAGGAAAATGTGGCAGAAAAGCCAGATTACCCGACAGACTTTGAAGTGTCTTATGATGAGTTCAAATATGTGCTGCCGCTTCTCCCAAGGCCGACTGTACCTGAATTACCCAAGCATGCCACCTTCCCAACTCCTTCTGGTTGGTTTCCACCAAATGGTAATGTCAAGTTGATTCATTTATACTAATTTATAGCTAAGAGAGTTGTAGCTTGTTGTCTGACAGTGAGTGTCCAGCATAAATACAGTTTATTGGAATCTCATTGAGTTGGTGGTCTCATGATACTATAGTAGCACATTCAGAATTTTTCGTATCTGAGGTCACTCTTATTTGTCAGATGAATGAAATAGCGAAACGAGGTATGTGGAAGCTTGAATAAGAGAACATGACAAAAAACAAGGACGTTTCGGCATAAAGCCTTCTTCAGCTAACAGTAGAAATGAAAATAAAACAAAGAACAGAGCACAGTAGACAACTCAAGAAGTATCCATTCGTGTCGCCGGAAGTGGGAACACAGGAAGCGAGAGAATATAAATATTAACACTGTGAAAAATGAAGTCCACAATAATAATGGACCAGAATATTCAGGGATACATCAACACACAGCAATTAGAAAATAGATGAAATATAGGGAAACAGAGAAACATTAGTAGGATTTTTTTTTATTAATACCATATGGAGATATGGGGCCAAACAGCTGAATAAATTTATTTTCCATTTTAACCCTCTTTGGTGTGTTACTGCGTGAAATCAGTGCCGTAATGGTCACATCCAATGCACCTTTATGTTCTTTTCTGTTAAGCTTGAATGCAGTCCTTAAATTTATATTTTATTTGTCAGATAATGGACACATTGCCTTAGGCGCATTATGGGAAAGATTTCTAACGGTAAAAAACCTTCTTTAATCCCAGTGAAACTGAGATGTGACCTTAGTAAGGCAGCTACTCTTTCTGGGGAGTAAGCCACCACAGTTAGAAGACTTAACCCAACTTGGCTTGGGAGTAAAAGATACTTAGTGTTAGAAGACTTAACCCAACATGGCTTGGGAGTAAAAGACACTTGGTGTTTTGCTTTTATATTACAAAATGAAACAGTACAACAAAATATCTCATAGACATTGAAAATTTGACAACACCCAAATCTTCATAGAACATGTATGTTGTGTGTTTAGACATATCAAATGTCATTATTCATAATTCTAATAATTGAACAAATTTTTGTCATTTTTCTTTGTTTTTACAGAAGAATTAATAGCCAAACAGACATTTTTGATTCGGCGAACAAAAAATCATTTACTCCCTGTTTATCCTGAATTAAAGAGAGTTCAGGTGGGGCCCTATAAAGCTATCAAGCACTCTGTCATCATTCGTAAAATTGAGGGAGACATCTGGGTAAGTTATGATAAATGTAAAAACTTTATTTCAACGTTTATGTTGAAAGTTGGAGTCAACAATACAATTTTACAATGTTACCATATCAGATGACCTTTCCTTTGTAATGACCTTTCCTTTGTAAAACCATATCAGATGACCTTTCCTTTGTAAACCCATATCAGATGACCTTTCCTTTGTAAAACCATATCAGATGACCTTTCCTTTGTAAAACCATATCAGATGACCTTTCCTTTGTAAATTTTGTGTAGGCGTGATGTCATAAAATTAAGATGGAGTAAAAGAGCTGCACAAGTCTAGTCATGTTTTATATTGAATCTTGCTGTGAGATTATATTGCCAATGTTGCAACATCAAAACTTCCAGGATTTTATGTTAAATACTAGTATTATTAGTATTATCTCTCAGAAATTCAAACTAAAAGTTTGATGAAAATGGAATTAAAATTTAATTGCTTACATTTTTTCAACATTCAGAGATTGAGTTTTCAAAAAGTCTGATTGATATATTTGTTATTTTAATTGTGAAAGTTGGCTGTCATAAAAAAATTAAATGACAATGGGTTTAGCTAATTGTATTACAAAGGCGGTGGGCTATAGCTGTATATGGTACATTTAACATTGAAAGATTTAGTTAGTTTACCTACAACAACTGCGTCATCAAACTTCTGCGATTCCTCAACAGGCTCTTGAAGCTGAACTGCGAGAATACTTGCTAGAGAAGACCGGATTAAAAGTGATCAAGACCCAAGTGCATGAAGTTGGACGATTCATCCGTATACGAGGGATGCATAGGCCTCTTGTTGCCGAGTTTATGTTTGAGAGAGGCATGTGAAGGGTTGCCTCAGTCTGGTCCTCAATGTTTTATCTTCATTAATATTTACACACCATGTTAACTGTGTTATTGTATAACAAGCTGCCTGTTAACATGTTCATAAAACTTGCATAAATAGATTGAAAAATGTTGCAGTGTTTATTTTATTGATATCATCCCCCAATATTTTATGACCTTCACTTTTTTATGTTTTTTTCTGATTAAAAAATGTAACCTGACAAAGCTAGGTCATCAGGGTCAAGGTTAGTTCTGGGCAAGCTTTGGTGTGTAATGAATTGAAAGAAATAAGAAGTACACAGCATGTGTAGGCCTGACAACACGCAGATGAACAAACAAAAATGAGTCTAATGATTTCAATTGTTTTTCCGGTAATCTTTACTGTCCTGCTTGTCCTCATCTGTTTTGGCAGACATGGTAATGATGTTGCCATACTTGTCAGGCTTTCTCATCCTGCCATCTTCATCATCTAAACACTGACTAAATAGTGGGGTTTTTTATTTAAAAAACCAACCATTTTTACTTGCTTTATTATTAGTAGTGACACATCCTGTTAGTAGTGACATATCCTGCTTTATTAGTAGTGACATATCCTGCTGTATTAGTAGTGACACATCCTATTAGTAGTGACACATCCTATTAGTAGTGACACATTCTTTTAGTAGTGACATATCCTGCTTTATTAGTAGTGACATATCCTGCTGTATTAGTAGTGACACATCCTATTAGTAGTGACACATCCTATTAGTAGTGACACATTCTTTTAGTAGTGACATATCCTGCTTTATTAGTAGTGACATATCCTGCTGTATTAGTAGTGACACATCCTATTAGTAGTGACACATCCTATTAGTAGTGACACATCCTGGTGGCAAAATAAAATGGTGTAATATTTTTTTAAATTTTCTATAAAATATTTTCAGGATTGAAAGAATTAACTTGCTAGTTTCCCCTTGGTGACCAGGCCACAAATGACCTTCATTTAACACAAGTCTGTGATGTTCATCCACATACAGACCAATAAATTGATAGACCAGCAAGTACCCCCAGGGGGGCATATGCCATCAATGATGTTTTTCTGCTTTCCCTAGTGTAGGTCACCACTCTCTTGAAATCAGTCCCAAGTCACCTCCCTGGATAAAACCCTTCTTCATAATATGTTGAGTATTTCATTGGTCTGCCATGCTTTCTGTGGCTGGTACATCGGTGCCTGCCCGGTGATAGTTGACGCATGTTGAGTATTTCATTGGTCTGCCATGCTTTCTGTGGCTGGTACATCGGTGCCTGCCCGGTGATAGTTGACCTCCATTTCCAGAGTGCGTCCAATTTTTGGATACTGTATTTCATTATCTATACATTGGTCTTAGCGACAGTTGCATCTTGTAAGTCACTTCAGTTACATAAAATCTTCTTTAAACATTTCTTAATCAAGGTACCTTTAACCTGTTCAATGTTGGTCTCTATGTTTTTCTATGTGTCCCTCCCAAAGAGCAGGATTGTTCTTCCATGGACTTCAGAGTCCTTATTGCAGTTACAACTGCCATTACTAAAGTTGGTGCAGTAAGGTATGATCTTACTCCAGTTACAACTGCCATTACTAAAGTGAGTGCAGTAAGGTATGATCTTACTCCAGTTACAACTGCCATTACTAAAGTGAGTGCAGTAAGGTATGATCTTACTCCAGTTACAACTGCCATTAATAAAGTGAGTGCAGTAAGGTATGATCTTACTCCAGTTACAACTACCATTACTAAAGGGAGTGCAGTAAGGTATGATCTTACTCCAGTTAAGAACTACCATTACTAAAGTGAGTGCAGTAAGGTATGATCTTAATCCAGTTAAGAACTACCATTACTAAAGTGAGTGCAGTAAGGTATGATCTTACTCCAGTTAAGAACTACCATTACTAAAGTGAGTGCAGTAAGGTATGATCTCGACTTCAATATACAACAACCATTACTAAAGTGGGTGCAGTAAGGTATGATCTTACTCCAGTTAAAAACTACCATTACTAAAGTGAGTGCAGTAAGGTATGATCTTAATCCAGTTAAGAACTACCATTACTAAAGTGATTGCAGTAAGGTATGATCTTAATCCAGTTAAGAACTACCATTACTAAAGTGAGTGCAGTAAGGTATGATCTTACTCCAGTTAAGAACTACCATTACTAAAGTGAGTGCAGTAAGGTATGATCTCGACTCCAATATACAACAACCATTACTAAAGTGGGTGCAGTAAGGTATGATCTTACTCCAGTTAAAAACTACCATTACTAAAGTGAGTGCAGTAAGGTATGATCTTAATCCAGTTAAGAACTACCATTACTAAAGTGATTGCAGTAAGGTATGATCTTAATCCAGTTAAGAACTACCATTACTAAAGTGAGTGCAGTAAGGTATGATCT